AATTCATTTTCATTGCAAAAGAGATTAAAATGGGAAAATTCTCTCAAGAAGTAACCATGTATAGCTTTTACACTTGCACGGAGATGGTTCTCTTATTGGTTGATTTTCCAAAAAGATAGGGGTCTTTACATCTTAGAAAATTACTCAAAAATGACTTTCACACTTCTAGCAAGGTAGCTCTTTCACAAGGTGACAAAATTTCAGCAAAAGCACTCAAGATGAAAGAAGCTTGTATTACTTCAAGAGTTGAAAAAAAAAAAAAAATGTGGACACATTTCTCACAACATACACACTCAAGAGAGAAATAATTTAGTATCCACGACAAAGATCGAACACACTTGCAACATTAAAAAAAGAAATTTTCTCATGATTGATTCAAAGAAAACAGAAAATTACTCAAGTTGAAGTAGTTCAATGAACTTCCTCAAGTTAACAAATGATTGAAAATCTAAGGGTTTTGTAAACAAATCTGCCAATTGCTAGTTTGTATTCACATGTGCAAGTGAGATGATTTTCTTTTCAACTAAATCTCTGATGAAATGATGTCTAATATCGATATGCTTAGTCCTAGACTGTTGAACATGATTTTTCGAAATGTTAATGGCACTAGTGGTATTACGAAACACAGTTACACACTCTTGAAACATAATATATGTCTAATCTTAACACATACAACCTAATAATTCACACTAAGCATCGTCACATAATAATGAAAATTAAAGATTAAATTAATAACATGAATGAATCAAGATATCCATTAAATTGATAACAATATTTTTAACACAGAGCCTTCCAATTAGGCTGCATTGGATCCCTAGAGAAGAATTTAGTTACACAATGACATAAAGAAAGCAAACCTCAATTCCCCCAAAAGCATAAATAATCCAAAACCCTAGGAAGAATCCTCTTTCTTGCTACCAAGTGGCTCTCAATTTACATTAAAGAGAATAATCCCTAAAATAAATTACAATTTCCTATTTATACTTTTTCTTTGCTAGGGGTGTTTTCAGGAAAGTAAGGGGAAAAATCTTAGAAAAAATAGGAGAATAAAATTCAATTCTAGGCGAAATAGAATAAGAGAATCCTTATAACATTAGGATTCCTTCACACAAGCTACGCAAACTCCAACATAGAACACGATAGCTTCTGAATGTGGAAAAGTTGTGAACAAATTAACTGTAGGTCATAAAATAATATTCCCAATTCTATAGGAATCATCCAAATCTGAGGTCTATAGCTCAAGTTATTGTCAAAAAACACTTAAGTATGTTCCAACCCATGTCTACTTGTCTAATGTAACTTTTGGATAAAATTTTAACAATCTTCTAGGTCGAACTGGAGCACAATCAAAACATAAAAGTATTTCCATCTCTTAGCTTTACAACATCACAAGAATCAAGTCAACTAGAGTTGAGTATCTCAAGTTATGCCCATTTTAATGCAACACATTCTGGCAGAAAAACTCACCATCATAAAATTCGTGAAGTTCGCCTCGACGTGATTTAGTGGAGCTGCGACATGAAGTTTTTATCCATTTTGCAAGATATTTTTTGCTGCAGCATGGGAATAGTTTCGTTATGGCATGGGAATAGTTTTGCTGTGACGAACAATCTTTAAAAATCCATAACTTCTTCGTTTGAGTTCCGATTCTCAAACAATTTGTTCCTATATGAATTTGATTCTTTCCTCTTCAATGTCCATGCTTGAAATCCTCATTTTTTTAGCACCTAGATACCTGAAAATTCACACAACATACCCGTGATTTTAGAAAATAAAAGAGGTATAGCAATGAAGTAAAATTAACTAATTAAACCTAATTCCCTCTCAAAATACCCTTAAAATCACTAAGTATGAGTGCACTTTCAAGCATTCACCAGAAGCTTATGTCAAGAAATTGACTTCAAACAAGCTAAGCCCCAAATCTAAAAAATATATATTTGTGGGGTATCCTAAGGAGACCAAAGGAGACTATTTCTACCATCCAGAAGAGTACAAAGTTTTTGTCACTCGTACTGGTGTCTTCTTAGAGAAAGTATTTTTTAGGGGATCGTACAGGGTGGAGGAGAGTCTTTAACAAATCAATGGTAGTCTTTAATCAATCAAACTTGAGTGATTAAGTGAGACAGGATAAATTATACCTAGAGTGTCGGAAAGCCATTTCGTTGATTTACCTTGCCTTGTAGGTTTAGAGGACCATAGAGGGTGGAGGAGAATTATGTGAGTTGGTCTAATGTCAAACCAAAACTGTAGTCGCAATGTGTTTATTATAAAGTCTTCATTTGTTTTAATTTCAAGCTTTTATTATTTGCATTTAGTTTGTTTAGTTTAATTAATCAAATTCCCAATTTCATTTCTGCTATTCAAATATACATTAGGTTGTTAGTCTTGCTCTCTGTGGATTTGACCCTGCTTACTACTAACTCTGATATTTAGGTTTAATTTTGTGGCTGTGACGACCGGTTCGACAAAATTTTGGCGCTGTTGCCGGGGAGCAACTTGCTTTCAACTTTGTGTGTTTGGGTAGTCATTAGTTTTTTGTTCTAGGTTTATTTTAGTTGTTGCTTTGTTTGTGTTATTTTCTTTGTAGGGATTATTTGTTTGGGTGAATTGTTTAATTTTTGTGTTCCTTTTAGTTTGTCTCTTTGCATTTTTGGTTAATTATTTTCTTTTTTAGGTTGTTTGCGTAATTTCATTTTTACTTCATTTTATTTTCATTGGAATAGTTTCATTTGTGTTTGTTTTTGTTTTACAGAAAAATTACAATGGAGAAAACGCTGCAGCTTGTCATGAGCATTAAAGATCTAGCATTACCCGATTGTCAAATTCTCTTAATCTTCTGTTTTTTTTTTTTTTTTTAACTCATTTTGATTAATTAGTAATAGCTTTTTTCTTATTTTGCATAATTTGTTTTTATTCCTAGAATTTAATTTTTGTTCTTAGTATTACTTTATTTTAGGTTGCATTGATAGCTTTAGTTTTGATTAAGTGTATTTATTGTGTGAAATTTTGTTGGGTATAGTTTTATTAGATTTTAGATTTGTTTTAGTTTTGTTTCGTGTGCTTATTCAAATTTGTTTCTTAGGATTTGCATTTAGCTAATTTTCTTCGAGATTTTTTGTTGCGTTGTTTGTTGAGCCTTTTGTGTGTTTGAGTGATGAATGCAAACTAGAAGCTCTTGTAACGAAGAGTTATTACCTTTGAATCTTGAAATTGAGCGCACTTGTAAGAGGAACAGAAAACAAGCATGTAGGATGGCTGACCAGGATGCACCCACACATGTGCCTTTTGGATAACCTTTCGCACCCATCACTTACACTTCAACCTCATGTATGTGTATCCCCAATGTCCAGACACAACACTATGAGATCAAGACTAGTATCATCCAATTGCTGCCAATTTATTATGGGAATTTAAACGAGGAGCCATACAAACACTTAGATGAATTTTTAGAGGTTTGCTCCACAGTTAGACTTAAAAATGTGAATGAAGAAGTCGTGCGCTTAATTTTTTTTCCATTCTCACTTAAGGATCGAGCCAAACAGTTGCTCAATTCTTTGGCAGTAGGGTCCATTATCTCTTGGGCCCAAATGCAACGAGGATTCCTCCAAAACTATTATCCCATTGGTAAGACAAGCCATCACTAGTTTCACTCAACTACATGGTAAGGAATTTTATGAGAGTTGGGAACATTTGAAGGAAATGCTTAGGAAGTGTCCCCATCACACAGTCCCTAGGTGGCAATTAGTTCGTAGTTTTTATGACGGACTGACCGAGAGGCATAAGAATATGGTAGGCACCTCTTGTGGAGGAACATTTATGTGCAAGAACGAGAATGAGTTATGGCAACTCTTCAAGACCTTAAGTGAAAATTCAATGCAGCACATTTCTACGTCTAGGATGCCTATCTCAGGGCAGCCATCTAAGAAGGGTGGCGTGTATGAGGTGTCACGGTTAAATGACATTAGTTCCAAGCTAGAGGTGTTGGCCTAGTGCTTTGACTAGTTTGTATCTATATAAGGGCAACCTGTTACACAATCATTTCAGAATAGGGTGAACCAGGATGTTTTTGCCATGCACTCCACTCTTGACCATCCAATTGAGGAACCCACCCCTAACCCTTTTGAAGAGCAAGTGCAGGTTGCACAAGGCTTCCAGAGACGGAATGATCCATACTTAAACACGTACAATCTTGGGTGGCGTAACCAGCCTAATTTTTCATGGAAGCCACAACCACCTCAAAAATGTCCCTAATAATATGCCATACAGGAACAATTCTTCCAATCAGGAAGGCAATTATAGGGAGCAACCTTCAATCCAACCACCCATCCAACCTAGGATCCCACCTCCCATTCAGTAGCCCACTCCAGTGCCCAATTCACTAGAATCAATGATGAAAAAAATGCTCCAAACCATGCAGGAACAAAAAGCCGACATGAATGCTAGGTTCCAAGATTTAGAGCAAAATACCTAACTTTTACACTCTCATTCCAAATCCATTAGTAAGCTAAAGACCCAGATTGGTTAAATAGCCGAAGCAGTTAATAGGAGGGAACAAAGCCAATTGCCTAGTCAAGTCATTGGTAACCCTAATGGTTCTTCTCAGCTTTCCAAGCAAGCTAAGGTCGTGATGACTCTTGGAGCAGTCAAGAGCTAATTAGGCTTGAGAGGGAAGTAAAAGTCTAGGGTAGAGAAGAGGAAAATCTAGATAGGGACCAAGCCAAAGATAGTGAGAGTGATCCACTTGTAGAGTCAAGTGTTTAGAGACCAGGTAAAGAGGAAGTTGGGGAGAATGAACTATCCCTTGCATTGTACATATCGAAAGCATCATTTACTCAGTGCTAGAGCCCCTAAATGTTCCCACTATTAGGAAAAAAGCTAGGATGGAGGAAATGGTTGAGTTGTTTAAGCAGGTGCAGATTAACATTCCACTCTTAGATTCCATTAAGCAAGTACCTACTTATTCCAAATTCCTCAAAGACTTGTGCATGCAAAAAAGGCGAATGAAATCTCACACTCCCAATACTGTACATTTACTGAAAAATATAAGTGCGGTTGACTCAAACTGCCTTCCCCCAAAGTTAAAGGATCCTGGAGCTCCTATTATTTCTTATGTTATAGGTAATGTCATGATTGATAGAGCACTCCTAGACTTAGGGACGAGTGTGAACTTATTACCCATTTCTGTGTATGAACAATTTAACTTAGGTGAGCTTAAGTCTACTGAAGTCATCCTGCAGTTAGCTGATCGATCAGTCAAAATGCCTGGGGGCCTAATTGAGGTAGTTAAGGTTGAGGAACTATATTTTTCGGTGGATTTTCTTGTCTTAAACATGGAGTATACGAGTAGTGGAAGTATACCACCGATTATTTTGGAGAGACCTTTTCTAACAACAGCAAATGCTTGCATTAACTGTAGATCAGGAGAGATGGAAGTGTCTTTTAGGAATATGAAGCTGAGACTTAATGTGTTTAATGCTGGTTTAGGGCCGATGCATGAGGACGATAACGAGTTTTTCATGATTGATGCTATTGGCAGTCTAGTGGAGGCTTACGCTCCACAGATGTTATGTGATGACACGATTTACACTCTTGTGAATCCATTTGTTGAGGAGATATGTAGCTTGAGTGTCATGTCAGAGATTCAGGAGGTTAGTGCGTATATGGATAGGTCACCCACTCTAGAACGTCGACCTTGGAACATCAAGTATGAACCCTTACCACCTTTATCTAAGACAACACATCCAAGGTCAATTGAGTCTCCACTAGTCTTTGAGTTGAAGGCCTTGCCTAATACTCTAAAGTATGTTTCCCTAGGACCCAACAAGACCTTACCCATGATCATTGCCGCCAACTTAGATAGTGAGCAAGAGGAGAGATTAGTGGCAGTCTTGACAACACATAAGGAAGCAATCGGTTGGTCGGTAGCCGATTCGCAAGGGATTAGCCCTTCTTTGCATATGTATCATATATTTTGTGAAGAGAATGCTAAACGGGTGCATGAAGCTCAAAGAAGATTAAACTCAAACATCAAGGAGGAAGTGAAGAAAGAGGTGATCAAATGGCTTGATGCAAGTATCATCTACCCTATATCCGACAGCCAATGGGTAAGTCCGACCCATGTTGTACCTAAGAAAAGTGGCCTCACCATTGTAAAAAATTAAAAAGGTGAGCGAATTCCTACCCGTACTCCCACAGGATGGAAAGTTTGCATTGACTAAGGAAGCTCAACCTAGCCACTAGGAAGGATCATTTCGTGCTCTCATTTATTGACAAAATTCTAAAAAAACTTGTAGGGTAGGTTTTCTATTATTTTTTGGATGGCTATTCCAGATATAACCAAGTACCAGTTCCCCCGAAGACTAGGAAAAGACCAAGTTCACATGTCTTTTTGGTACATTTGCCTTTCGTCACATGCCCTTCGGGTTCTGCAATGCACCAGCAACGTTTCAAAGGTGCATGTTATCGATTTTTTCTAACATGGTGGGTCAATTCCTTGAAGTCTTTATGGATGAATTTTCTGTGTTTGGTACATCTTTTGATAATTATCTCAAAAAACTTGAGTTGGTGTTGAAACGATGCAAAGAGACAAATCTTATTCTCAGTTGGGAAAAGAGACATTTTATGGTTCAAGAGGGAATTGTCTTAGGTCATGTAGTTTTCAAGAAAGGGATAGCAGTGGATAACGCAAAGGTGGAGTTGATTTCTCAACTACCACCACCTTCGTCAGTCAAACAAATTAGATCTTTCCTAGGCCATACAGGATTTTATAGGTGTTTTATCCAAAATTTTAGCAAGATCTTTAAGCCTTTGTGTGATTTGCTTGCTAAAGATGTAACATTTGTTTTTTATGACTCTTGTATGATTGCATTTACCATTTTGAAGCAAGCGTTGACCACAGCACCCATCATGCAACCTCTTGATTGGAACCTACCTTTTGAAGTGATGTGTGACACGTTGGACTATGCCATTGGTGCTGTCCTTGACCAATGGGTGAATAAAAAGCCCGTTGTGATCTACTATGCAAGCAAAACCTTCTCCAATGCTCAATGCAATTACACTACTACCGAGAAGGAGTTGCTTGTAGTAATGTTCTCCATTGATAAGTCTTGGTTTTATCTTCTTGGGTCTAGGATAGTTGTCTTTATAACGTTGCAGTTAGGTATTTGTTAGACAAGAAAGACACTAAGCCTAGACTAATTTGATGGATTTTGTTGTTGCAGGAGTTTGATCTAGAAATCAAAGATAAAAAAGGTAGTGATAATGTGGTCGTCGACCACTTGTCTAGACTCTTTACAAAGTATATCCCTGGTCAATGTTTGAATGACTCTTTCCTGGATGAGCAACTATTTACAATATCCTAATCCAAAGCACCTTGGTATGCCCATATAGTCAATTACCTGGCCGTAGGACAATTACCATTAGGGTGGACCAAAACTTAGAAAGATCATTTCTTTGCAACCATCAAGTATTATTTTTAGGAAGACCCAGACCTTTTCAGGGTGTGTGTAGACCAGATTGTTAGGAGATGTGTTGCCAACCATGAGTTTAGTAGTATACTTGCATTTTGTCATTCTCATGCTTGTGGTGGTCATTATAGTGGCAAGAGGACCGCTTTAAAGGTCCTCCAATGTGGTTTTTATCAGCCCACTCTTTTTCATGATGCATTCTTTTATTGTCGTGCTTGTACTTCATGTCAAAGAGTAGGGAATATTGGTAGACGAGGTATGATGCCCCTGAATCATATTTTGATTGTGGAAATATTTGATGTGTGGGGTATTGATTTCATGGGTCCATTTTCCTCATCTTTTGGCTTTGAATATATTTTGCTTGCCGTGGATTATGTGTCTAAATGAGTAGAAGCCATTGCCGCTAGGACTAATGATCATAGGGTGGTCATCAACTTTGTTCAATTGCACATCTTTAGTCGTTTTGGTCATCCACGCGCTATCATTAGTGATGGTAGCTCACATTTCACCAATAGCCACTTTGGCTCACTATTGAAAAGTACTCAATCACTCATTGAGTTGCCACACCTTATCACCCTCAAACTAGTGGACAAGTGGAACGTGCTAATAGGGAAATTAAGACTATCTTAGAGAAAATGATGCGGCCCAATTGTAAGGATTGGTCGGTGCATCTAAATGATGCACTTTGGGCCTATCGAACAGCCTATCACACCCATATTGGCATGTCCTCTTATTAGTTAGTTTTTTGGAAAACATGTCATTGACCTATAGAACTTGAACATAGAGCATATTGGGCCACAAGGAAATTCAATTTTGATATAACCATGGCCAGTGACCATAGGAAACTCCAACTTTTGGAGTTAGATGAGCTAAGACATGAAGCTTGGGGAGTGTTGATTGATTTTTATTTTTGTGGAGTATGTTGTTGATCATATTTTTTTGAAGTGTTGTTGATGATGCTTTTGTAGAGATTGTGTGTTGAATGGATTGTGCTTAAATTTTTGGGGCATGATGATGTTTTTTGTTGAAAATATGTTGAATCTTACTCTTGTAAGTCTAAAAGTGGTAAAAGTGAACTAAAGTGAGTTATTTTTTTTAAAAAAAATTTGAATTCATGCATAATCACCATGTTAGAAGCAATTGAGGTGCTAGTTGAAGGGTTTTGTGAGGTTTGTGAAAATGGTTTGTTGCAACATGGTTTTAAACATTGAACTATTGATTCTGTTTTGTGCTAGGTTTGTCCATAATTGTGGTTAGACACCGTTTTGCGTAAATTTCATGTGTTTTAGTGTTTATGCAAGTCTCCCACATACTTTACATGCCCGTAGAGCAAATTTTAATTTATTATCTTGCGTGTGTTAAAAGTGCTTAAATGTTGCTTGATGATTTGGTTTTGATTTGTAGCCTAGTTGACGCCTGAGGGGTGTTCTACACCTAATCCCCTAAAGCTATCTAGCTTGGGAGTGGTTGGCCAAAGCTCGTTACATGGGTCCTCTAGAAAGCTTAATAAGTCATTATATAGATCATGAGCTTTATAAAAGAAAAATAAATATAAGTCTTGACTTGTAACCTAGTTGGTTCAGGTGAGTAAGTCCGAGAAGTGTTTTACATTTAGTGCCCTATAGCCATCTGGTTTGGGAGTCATTGACCTAAAGCCCCTTACATGGACCTTCCAGAAAGCTTAAGAAGTTAAGACAAGAAAAAAAAAAAAAAAGTGATGAATGAAAAGAAATTATATGTCAAAATCTTGTGTGTAAAATGAGCATTATGTTGCATGTACCTAAGTTGGGGAGTTTTGCATGACATTTTAACATTATGATATGAATATGAAATGTGTGTTTGAGAAGCTTGAATGGAGATAGGCAAATCTTGACAGAAACTTTAGGTCTTTATTTAGGATTGTGTTGTTTGCTTGTTATGTTCAAATTTTTCACTTTATCGTTTGATGAATATCTTAGTTGTTGATGAATATGGTTGTGTATGGTTTTGTGAGAATGTTGAAAAGTTTCTTTTACTTTACTCAAGGACAAGCAAAGAGTAAGTTGGGGAGTGTGTTAGAGTCATGAAAGTGACACTATTTTGGTGATAAAAAGACCCTATGTGTGATTAAAATGAAATCATATTAAGATAATGAGAGAAGTTATGAATTTATTCACGAAAATCGCTTCATAATATTTTTCTTATGAATTTAACATGTTTGGAATGATTTTGGAAAGGGTATGAGTTGATATTAGGTTGTGGTTTATGGATTATGGGTGATTTTGTCTCATTTATGCTGTTTAGGGGGTAATTGTCATATTTATAAAGGTTGATTTTGTCACTTTTCAATCATATAGGGACCACAATGATATTTTTCACCTTGTGTATAAAAAGAACGCGAAGGGTCGCAAAAGAGCAGTGTTGTTCATCCATCCATAATTTTTTCCAGTGACTCTTCCTCTCCCATTTCCGCCGACCTCCGGTGACGATTGGACTTCCCCTTTCACCGATCATCATCATCCCGCATCACCGTCACGACTCACGCCAAAACTTCAGTGATGTTTCACATTCCAGCCATGATTTCGCCATTTTTCAGCGACCTCTGACGATGTTGCACTTCCTTGGCAGCCGATCTTCCTTCCCCATAGCCAGATCTATCCATTCCAAGCTTTAGTTGCCGCCGAAAACACTGGAATCTAACATCACAATCGTCGCGCCTCTTCACCTTCCAGCCGCGATCTCTCCCATTTTCGGTGACCTTTCCTCTCCCCAAACCCGATCTGAACTCTCCATCACCTGAGCTTTCTATTGGTACCTTCGGATCTCATTTCTGCCACCATTTGCCGAAAGACCCATCGGAAAACTAATGTATTCTGACGAGTGCGATTGTTCATATTTCGGGCCGTCCGTTGGTCGTTTTCGCTCCTTCTTCACATCATATCGCTTTTGGTTACTCCTCTTCACCATGATAAGCTTCGTTTCCACCGCTTCAGCCTCCCTCAACACCAGCATGAGTGGCCGAGTTCCCTGTTGTTTATTACGGCATAGATGAGATCGAGATTGACTCCACTGCTCTCCTCATCAGCTCTCGACTAGTTGGATGAGCCCGATTATAGGACATTTGTTAGTATTGTGTTTTGTATTATAATTGTTTTCATTTCATGTTTGATTTTGATACTTTAATATAGCTTGAGCATAATTTGTGATGAATATAGTTGTCCATTGTGATTTAATGTTTTCATAGAACTCGCTGAATGATAAACGTTGGTTTGAGATAATTAAATGGTGAATATTGCTTTTCATTACTTCGCATCGATTGTAATTGAGTTGTATTCGGATTTAATTTCATTTCTACTATTGTTGCGTTTATTGTGAAGTTGGATGATTAGAAGATACGTGTTAACAAATTGTATTTGTTAATCGCGTACCAACTGGTGGTATTGTCTTGTAGCGTTTATTGGCATTCAATGATAGTCTTTAACCAATCAAACTTGAGTGATCAGGTGAGATAGGATAGATTATACTTAGAGTGTCGGAAAGCCACTTCTTTGATTTACCTTGCCTTGTAGGTTTAGGGGATTGTATAAGGTGGAGGAGAATTATTTGAATTGGTCTCGTGTCAGACCAAAATCGTAATGGCAACGTTTTTATTATAAAGTCTTCATTTGTTTTGATTTCAAGCTTTTATTATTTGCATTTAGTTTGTTTAGTTTAATCAATCCGCTACTCAAATTTATATTAGGTTGTTAGTCTTGCTCTCTGTGGATTCAACCCTGCTTATCGCAAACTACGGTATTTAGGTTTAACTTTGTGGCTGTGATGACCGGTTCGACAGAGTTTGGTAAGCCCTGGTTCCTTTCATTGGGGGCTTTTTTCAGCGTTTGTCTAAGAGAGTAGTTCTTCGAGATTTCATGAATCAAATGTCAGTGAGTGATTGGAAGAATAAGAGAGATTTAGGCAAGAAAAAGAGAGAAGAGAGCGTATTGTGGCACAAAGAGGGTTTGAAATTAAACCACAAACCCTTAAGAAATTAGGAATTTCACTTATATTTAGAAACTCAAAAATAGACGTGTGCACGTAGTGACACGATGTGAGCACACAATGGAACATACTTGACAATGTGAAGACATTCACAAAAAAACGTTGGCACACAGGACAAAAAATGAATGACCTGAAGTCATCCACAAGCATGTTAGCACATAATATCTCAAAGTGGCAACATTTTCACAAAAGGAGTAGACATATTTCACTTATTCTATTTTGAACAAAAAATGAAAAATAAAAAAATAAAGCAAAAATCATGAGATCAAACAAAAAAATTCACAAGATTTTAAGGAGGCAAGTTATGATATTTAAAAGTAGATACACCATAAGGATCACAACCCAAAAATAATCAACACTCAAGGCAACCATTCCTCAAATCATACAAGAGTAAAACAGCTGAGATTCGTCATCATATGTGTATGATATGTCCTCAAGGGGGAATTATTATACATTCGTCAAGCAATTCAAAGAAATCTCCTCCTACCTTCATGTCTCTTTTTCCTTTTGGTATATTACTTTTCTTTCTTTTTTAACATAATCTCAATTTTTGAATTCATTTTCATTGCAAAAGAGATTAAAATGGGAAAATTCTCTCAAGAAGTAACCATGTATAGCTTTTACACTTGCACGGAGATGGTTCTCTTATTGGTTGATTTTCCAAAAAGATAGGGGTCTTTACAT